CATGTCTTCTCCGGCGGTGGCCAGGAGTGCCCCAGGAGGGAGCCGGGAGATGGCCCCCAGGAGGTGGGCAGTGGGCGGCGGCAGCGGCGACCGGCCGGAGCGCCAGGAGCTGCTGCTGCGCCGTGGCGAGCTGCTGGCGCTGGGCGGCCACCTGAAGGGAGCGCTGGAGGCGTACTCGGCGGCGCTGCGCCGCGGGGCCCCCGGCAGGCCCGAGCGCCTCGGCACCCTGGTGGACTGCCTAGTGCTCAACTACCGGCTCCGCCACGGGCTGCGCTGCAGCGCGGCCCCGGATGCCGACGCCGGCGCCGCCGGGCTCCTGAGCTGCCTGGGCTGCCGGGGCTTCCTGAGCGAGCCGGTGACCGTGCCCTGTGGCCACAGCTACTGCCGCCGCTGCCTGCGGAGAGAGCTCCGCGCCCACTGCCGCCTCTGCCGGGCCCGCCTGCCGGCCGCCGATGCTGAGGGGCCGCCGTCCCCGGCCGCAGCCGCCTCGGGCTTCAGGACCAGCGTCGTGCTCAACCACCTGGCCGAGAAGTGGTTCCCGGGCCTGCGGGAGAGGGCCCGGGCGGCCGGCCGGCTCGGGGAGCTGCTGCAGCAGGGGCGCTACCGGGAGGCCCTGGCCGCCGCCTGCGAGGCGCTGCGAGCAGGTGACCGCGGCGAGCGGCGCGACCCGGCCGACCCACCCTCCTCGCCCGACGGGCCGGGCACCCAGAGCTCGTGCCGGCCCCTCGAGTCCCGGGGTCCTCGCGGGTGTGTGAGGGGCGGCGCCCCGGAGTGCTTCGGTCACAATGGGGATCGCCCTCGGAGCCGATTGTGACGCGGCGCGGGGAGGGGCGCACGGGTGCGGAGTTCCCTCGCGAGTCCCCGGGCCTGCAGCCCCCGCCTGGCGTCCGGAGCGGAGCGGGGGGACCGGGCCGAGGCGGCCGAGCGCGCGATGGGGAGGGAGGTGGGCCAGCCGGAGCGGCCGCTCCCTTCCTGCCGCGCGCTTTCCGGGAATTGGCCACCGCCGCGCGGCCCGTAGGGAGCCTGCCGCGGGGTACGGCAGCCGGGGCGGGAGAGGCCCCCAGCCGAGGCTAGGCGTGCAACGTTTACCTTCTTCTCCCACAAAAGTCACCCGGGCAATTGGAGCCGCGGGAGGGAGGAATTGCATAAGCTTGGGGTGGGGGGGCGTTGTGTAACGGGTGACGTCCGGTGGGCGTGGCGGGAGATCCGCGGACTCCCGGCACCCCGAGGCCCCCTGCCTGCCTCGGGCTTCGGGCCGCTGTCGGCGCTACCCAGGGGCGGCCACCTCTTAACCTGAAAACACCTTCAGAATTGGTTGCTGCTCTTGAGGGTTTCAGCCCTTCTATTTCAAATCATATTTATTTTATATATGCATATGTTTGTTTTCGAATACACCTAGTTCATTATAGAGAAGCAGTCTTTGATCAGGGGGTGCTTTGCCACGCTTCTGTTTGCCTTTCCGCTCTTGATCAAACCGTGGGGAAGGGGTTTGTAGGTCTTCTGTCCATTTCTTCATCTCCAGGAAGCAGCTTCTGTCCTCTAACCTAGGCTAACACTTACCTTAAGGGTAGTTTTTAGTTGGCTGGAAGGAAGCAATGTCAAACGCCCCCTCTGTAAAATGAGCTGTTCCTCTAAGGCAGTGGTTCTCAACTGAGGGCAGTTGGCGGGGGGTGGAGCTTCTTGGGGGCATTTGGTCAGCAGGAGAAACTTGGTTGTCATAACTTGGGGTGGCACTGGTAGTACTAACGTCTAGTTGATAGAAGTCGGGATGCTGCTAAGCATCACAGGACAGCCACCCACCACAAAGAATTGTCAGGCCCCAAAAGTCAACAGTGGCACTTTTGATAAGCCTTGTGTTAAATAAGCATATTTTAAGACTTTAGTGTCTGTATATTGGAATAAGGAGCCCTAGTGGTGCAAGTGGTCAAGTGCTGGACTGCTAACCAGAAAGGTGGGAGGTGGGCGGTTGGAACCCACCAGCCACTCCTGGGGAGATGTGGCAGTCTGCTTCCATAAAGATTACAGCCTTGGAAGCCCTAAGGGGCAGTTCTACTCTGTCCTGTAGGGTCGCTGTGAGTCAGAGTTGACTCAACGGCAATGGGTTTAGTTTTGTTTTGATTTCTATAGTGGAATGGAATAATACTTAGGTGAATATTCCTAAGAAAATAAGTAGACGTTTAAAATATAATGTTAGATAAATTTATGAACTATGTTTCTGAAAGTAGATTCTTGTTGGGCTTTTCCCTAAGTGCTTAGTCATTTTGAACTAGTGGCAATAGCTTGAATTATTTAACACTTTCAGAGTTCAAAGCACAAAGTCAACATTTTTTCATTTTCTTTCAGTATCTTTTTGAGGAGTAGGCAGTTATAAAATACAATGATAGACTCAGAACAAATGACATCTATTTGGAGTACAGAGTCCTTGTACAGAGAGCTAGCTGTGTCTCTCAGAGACGAGAGGCAGAGCGGGAAGCTGGTCTGGGCTGTGCAGACCATATAGTAACTGGCGGTGGGCCTCGTTTTAAAAATGAAGAAGCAGAAGCAAGGACAGTGAAATGGCTTGTCCACACCCACACAGCTAGCACTTCTCCGAAATTTTCTCAGTGTGCATCCTCTTCTCCTAAGTGCTGGCCCAAGAGTCATAGCTGCCTTCATAGCTCATCCAATAAAAATGGTTAATACAAATTTCCAAGAAAGTTTTTTTTGTCACCAATATAAAACAGAGGATGCAACTTATTGACAGCACTATTCAGTATTAACTCCTACTGAGCTAATGATTATAACCTCTTAAGTTAGGTGCTGCTTAAATACTCGGGTCCTAGTCCATGGAAAAAGACTGGTGAGCACGTTGACTAAGTTATGAACAACCAGGTTTTTTTTTTTTTTTTGAATAAGGAAGATCCTGGATCTTGGATTGAGGTTATTTTAAACAAAAAAAGTCGAGTCTGCTCTTTTTTCCATTTGCATAGACTAGACATGGGACTTTTGCTTACTTGGCTACTTTTGCAGGAGTAGAACCCATGTCTGCTGACTGTCACCTCATTAGGCCATTTTTTTCAAAATCATTAATTCCATCCTTGAAAATGTGTCAGAATAGTACTAATAAGGATACATTTTCACATCCCTTGAATTCTTAGTGTGAAGTAGGAAAAAATCTTACAGCCAACAACTTACAGTTGATAAAGTGCAGACTATAAATGTTTCACAGTTTAGGAGCACAAATAAAAATGTTAACTAGAGTTGTAAGTATATTTGTACGATTGTTAGACTTCATGAGAGTTGGTTAGATAACTAGATAGACATTTGAAATTTATTGGACTGTTGCAGCTGTTTAGTGATACTTTAATTATTGTTAATAATGAAGACCTTTACTACAACTTATTCATATAATTCTTAGACTGTAACAAGGAAATACTAGCTCGGAAAAAAAAGAAAAATCTTGTCTACAGTTAGCCCACACATGGTTAATCCTGTGAATCAGAAAGTTTGAAAACCTTTGCCAAAATCAAAACTTTCCCATTGAGATTACATAAATTTCTGTTGCGTTGAGGTATATTTAGAAAACATTTAATCCATTGATCTTTTGCTATTAATTCTCAGATGTTTCATAACTTTGTCTTCTTAGTATTCAAGGATATCATGTAAAAGTCTTTTCTGCATTGAATCTTTATACTTAACAAGAGTCAACTGAAATGATCCCACTATGCTGTGTTGTTTTCAATTTGCTTTAAGTTAATTTTTACACTGACTCACCCCCTCCCTATATACACCCCTTTCCCCCCCAAAAGCAACAGAGCAGTATAATTTACAGTTTGAGCCAGTTTTTAAAAAGTAAAGGTCATAAGGGAGAAGATTTTATGAAAAATTTTTAGGGAGGGGAAATTTTTGTCTTTAATATTAATTATATAGTTCTTGACTCTTACCAAGTATTTTTGCATTGTTTATATCATTTGAGCTTCACAAAGAATCCTGGGTACTATTATCCTTACAAGGAAATTGAGGTACCCAGAGATCAACATGCAGTACAGCTTCGCTATGAAAGCTGTGGACTCCCTGGTTTTTGAGTCACGCTGCAGCCTTCTGTTTACTCTCTGACCTTGGGTGAGCTGTCTGGTTTCCTTATCTGAAAAGGGAGAATAATGTTATCTACCTCATGGGATTGTTGTGAGAATTGAATCAAAGCATGTAAAGTACTTTGAATGGTGCCTGACACAGTAAGTGCCCAGGAAATAGGAATTAAAATATTTTAAAAATGTGAAAGTTGTGCCTGCAGCTAGGTGACTAGCTGAGTTAAATGTGGAACTTGTGATTTCACTTCTGCTCTTTTCTCTCTACCACATTAATAGTATTGATTACCAGGATGACGGTTAAATCCTGACTCTTGCCCACACGTGTTATTTAGTACAGGTAGTCCTCGATTTACTATGTTTTCGTATTAAGGCAACCTACACTTAATGACCATCTTTTTAATACATCTAATCATTGGTAATATATACTACACACAATGTTGCAGCACATAATTTGCTGATGGTATCATTCTCAGATGTTCACTTGCAGATGTTTATATGTAATGTTTCCAACCCCCAAAGACGAAGATCAGATTTATAAAGGTACTGAAAATAAAAGGCAATAGTAACAAAAACTGAAAAAAAAAAAAAAAAAAAAAAAAGTATTTTTCTTAGAACGGATTTACTGGGGAATCATTGGAAAGGAGCCCCATCGTAAGTTGGGGACTACCTGTAGTAACATTTTAGCATACAGCAATAAAATACAGACATTGCAAAGCTTTAGTTACAAAGGTATTGGTCGAATCATAGGTAAATAGTGAGTACATTTAAAGAAATACAGGGTTTTTAATTTCTTTAGCAACTAGGTTCAGTGAAGAGATTTGAATTTAATCCATAACATTCATATCTTATTCCACAAAGGGCTTGAAACAGTAAACACTGGCATTTGTATGATGTTTTATAGTTCACACAATCCTTTAGCTTCCATTATCTTGAGTTTCATAAAAGATCAAGTGAAGTAGGACAGCACGTATTAGTATCCTTAGTTCACAGACTGAAGAAAAAAGCTCCAAGAATCTTAAGTGATGTAACCGGACTGTTCAGGTCTGCTCAGTGTGGCCACAGAGACGTGAAGGAGAAAGAAGCAGCTTTATTTGGTTGGCCAAGCAGAGGAGCACACTGGTACTCGTGTCACTGAGATGGCTCCCAGAACAACAGCCAAAAGGTTTACGTGCGTAGAGTCAGTCCGCCCTGGGGTCTCCCGGAACACCTGGAGGTGGGGCCAGCTTGCTGATTGGTCTGGCCGGTAAAGGCGTTCTGGGCAGTCCGGCCTTTCTGCGCTTGCTCAGTGTAAAAAGGGGCGGTGTGGGGGCTTCTCCCAAACCACATCTTAGGCTCGGACCCTTCGCGTCTGAAAGCCTTCCCCCGATATCGGGCCGCTAAGGTTTGGTTCCGTCCAGCTGGAGAAGAGTTCCAGGGTCACCCAAAGGGCGGGGTTGATGGCATGTCCGGCAGGCCAGATGTAGTTCTTGTCGGTTTCAGGTGGTTCTGTGACCTCAGCTTGGCCAGAAACAGGAAACATATTTAAATAAGGAGCCAGCTTCAAGATGGGGAGATAGTTTCTGTGTCACAGAAAA